AAATTCCGAATGATTATTAGCAGCGCTTAAGTCGATATTAATCAAAATTTCTTGTTCCTCAGCTTTTAATTGACTTAATAAAAAGTATCCAATGGATCAAAAGCCACAGATAATCAAAATTTGAACTATTACCGGCTCTTGATTCTCTGGAAAACTTTCCTGGAATCAATCAAGAGCCGGTAATAATCAAAATTTCAACTTTCATCAACACTGGATTCCCTAGAGAATTATTTCAAGGGCACTCAAGACTCAAGAGCCGATAATAATCAAAATCCGAATGATCATTAGCAGCTCTTAAATTGATATTAATCAAAATTTCTTGTTCCGCAGCTTCTAATTGGCTCAAGAAAAATTAGGTAGCTAATAGATCAAGAGCCACAGCCACAAAATTTGAACTTTTATCAACTCTGGATTTGCAAGAGAATTTTTCTAAAAGCATCCAAAACTCAAGAGCCGAATAATAATCAATATTTCAAATGATCATTAACAGAGGTCTTAAGTCTTAAGTTGATAATCAAAATTTCTTTTTCCGCAGCATCTAATTGGCTCAAGAAAAATTATCCAATGAATGGAGAGTCAAGAGCCACAAACAATCAAAATTTGAACTATTACTGGTTCTTGATTCTCTGGAAAACTTTCCTGGAACCAATCAAGAGCCGGTAATAATCAAAATTTGAACTTTTATTCGCAAGAGAATTTTCCTAAGAGCATTCAAAGCTCAAGAGCCGATAATAATGAAAATTTCGAATGTTCATTATGTTGGGGATCGGGAGTTGATCGATGCCATGAATGTTGAGTACCTGGAGTCAGAGGCGCCGACTTTTGAAAGACCTCATGGGTGCAGAACAACTTTATATATTTGTTTATAGGGGGAGGGGGGAGCTCGCCACAGGCGCCGCCGGAGGCGAAAAATTTTCTCTACGAGCGTGCGAAAAGTGTTTTTTTGCATGCAATGTTAAGTCACCCTGGGTACTTTCATGTCCTGGAATGTGTGCGGGAAAGTACTTTTTCTACGACTGCTTTAGAAAGCTATTAAAAACGCACTACTAACTTACCTGGAAAATCAATTATTCCGCACAGCGTGCAAAAAGTAACTTTTCACACGCTTTTGCGTGCGAAAAGTACTTTTCACACGCTAAAATAAAAATGATACTTCTACTGAATTTTTGTTTTGCAAGTAACTCTGAGTGCATTCAACGTACGTACCAAAGTGGTTCGTTGATTAAAACCCTAAATAATAATTTTTAACAAAAAAAAAAATTAAATCTCAATGTGAATATAGTTATTTCGCAGTCGTAGAAAAAGTATAGTATGTAACGCGTGTGAAAAGCACTTTTCACACTCGTGCGGTTTGTGCCACTCGCCTGCGGCTCGTGTCACCAAACTTCCCCACGCGTGTGAAAAGTGCTATTTTCAACACTTGTTGCACAATATACTATCTCTGTACGGTCGTAAAAATATAATGTTCCCTCATCATGCGAAAAATCTCTTCTCCTCTTTTAATTGCTACACGCACGCCCTAACTGAAGTTTTGTTTTATTTTAGCCGCCTCTGTCAACTGTCAGACTGTCACTGTTAACCAATGAACTATTAGGTATGTTTCTGCAGAAATCAAAAACCAGTCAGAGTGAATTTCATTGGTTGAAACTAGTTTTCTGACTGTTTTCAACCAATATGAAATTCGCTCCGACTAGTTTGTGATTTCTGCAGAAACAGACCTAATATTATAAAAGATCCGATATATCGAAAATATTATATCGATACTTTTTTCGATATATCGAATGTAAAATATCGATTAAAATATATCGATATATTTGAATAATAATTTGGTTTCTACAAAACATCGATATATCATTACCCACGCGCAAAACTAAATTAAATGGCATACGGCGCAAGCACCATTATTATATTATATTATTATTATTAATATCACAGAATGAAGATGTAGAAGAATAGGAACATAATATAGATAGAATACCACACACACACACCCCTTGTATAATTAATTATTATACATAGTTGTGTAATAGTTATTTACATAATAAGTGCGTTTATGAACATGATTACAATAACGAGTGTGAAAGATTAAAACGACGAGGTCGTAGACCGAGTCGTTCTAATCACACGCGTTTTGTAGTCATGTTTAAACGCACGTGTGATGTACAACGTTTTATCTACAAAGCGAAAAATAAGAATGATTTTTCAATTAATTTCGTTTATTAATAGTTGCCTACCTTCATTTTACCTTTACAGGTTTAAGTTTGACATTTGTCAAATCACCAAAAATAGTTGTGTTATAGATTCATAACCTCGTCCATAACACCCATAGAGATAAATACTATATAAACTGTCGAGAATAGAATCTCAGTGTAAATTTTGTTGTCAACAAAATTGAGCCAAGCCAGCGCCATCTACCATATCGGAAAATCACTATTTACTGGTTTTGTATCGATGCTACAGTCACCTACTTTACATATGACTTTTTATGATAGATGGCGCCCTGTTCGCATTACTGTCGGTCTGTTCAAATTCGTTTATTCTAGACTTTGGGGCATTAATGTTTGCTTAAATTAATTGATAATTTGTTAATTAGATCAAAAGACAGTTTCTTTATCGATGGTTAAGGGTATCCTTACCATATTTATTCAAAGTTCTGATTGATGTTTAATTGAACCTGTCATTTATCTAATCAACAAAGATAAAAATAGATCTTCCAATCTATAAAGTTTGAAGTTCTTCTTGAAACACACAAAACAACTTTGTAATCACTTGAGAACACTTGACAACACAAAGAAAGATGAAATGCAAGACCGGCGAACAAAAAACATTATGAATTATTAGTTAGATCAAATTAATATTTTGGCATATTGTCATATGTTGACATGTCAGTTTTCGACATCGGACTTGATGTGCTGGTATTTTCCAATTTTGACAATTCTGTGGTTGTCAGCGACATCTAGAAAAACGGAAAAAAGTTATTATGTGGTTTATAACTGACAATGAGAGATCGCAGGGCCTGATAACACCACTAGTCAAAGTCGAAAGTCAAAGTCAAAAAAAGCTTTATTGCCATAAGAAATAACAATCTTGTTGACAAAGCACTTAAACTAAATGTATATAATAGACAATAAAACTAAATATGTATAATAGTTGTGTTATGAATTCATAACCTAGTCTATAACACCACTAGTTGTGTTATGAGTCTCATAACATAACTCAATTACTAGAAAAATGGTTATGTAAAAACGTCATAACCAAACGCTTGTAGATAAATTTAAAATACATGATACTGGATATTACCACATGGAACGCAATGAGCATTGAACACGTTTGTACTTCCGCATTCCCCACGAGAGCTCACATGGGTGCTCCGCACCTATGAGAGGTTGCTCATGGGTGCACCTGCCCCGATGCCCCCATGTAGTCGGCGCCAGTGCCTGGAGTTTTCCGCTTGCTTCAATCTCGTACTTCGATAATAAAAACTCGGTAGGTACTTATTGTATAAAAATGTTTCAAAGGTACTATGTCTTTGGCGGCAAGAGTATTTTCCATGGGCTGTATTTGACTTAGTTTTTATGTTAACAACAATTAGGGTTTCTGCAATAGAAGTACCGAATCTAGAGAAATTGGTGTGAACAGAACATTGGTTATACAGTGTGTCCACTTAAGTTAGCAGCATATGGGAAACTTTTTTATTATCAATTTTACGAAAAAAAGTTATTCTCCATAAAAGTTTCTGCTTCTTAAAAAAATTATATTTAACTACTAAAACTTGAAATAGCATGTACAGGGTGTTTCCTAAGTACGGTTTATAACTTCAGGATGTGATTCCTTATAATATTTTAAGAAAAAAAGTTCCCAGTTGATATTAATCAAAATTTCTTGTTTCTCAGCTTCTAATTGGTTAAACAAAAATTATCCAATGAATCAAAAGCCACATATAATTAAAATTTGAACCATTATCGGTTCTTGATTCTCTGGAAAACTTTTCTGGAGCCAATCAAGAGCCGGTAATAGTCAAAATTTGAACTTAAATCAAAAATCCATCAACCATTTGTAACTTTTTGTAAGTATAGTAATATTGTGCTTTGCAAATCTTGGCACCCTTCTCTGTACAAGATCAAAAGCAATCAACCCAATAATCATCTGCCTGAACAAATCTAAAACGACTACCACCCCCCGAGGGTAAATACAGGTGGATAAATTATCTGCGGTCCAAAAGATTGCATATGTTTTAGAAAGGTGCTTGCCAAACGGATAAAGGCACTTGTACAAACAATGATTTGTGATACATTGAGATTTTAGGGTGACCGCAATAATACACACGAGGGGAAAAAGACTCTTCCACATGAATTTATTAATTAATTTTTGTTTCTAGACGCTTTATGCAATTTGATATCTTTCGGAATTGTTCCAATATTGTCGGTATCGGATTCCCGCACCTACGCTCCATCCGCTAACCACCTGACTTATTTCGAGTCAATGATATTTTATTGAACATTCTTCATCGGCTGGACATCCTTTCTTTAAAGAAAGGGTCGCTTGTCTTGTCTTGTCCCATCAACCATTATTCCTTACAGGTATTTATTATTTATTTTAGTTAGAAAAGTCCATCCCTGGTTTGCCGTCAGGACGGCGGGGGTGGATTAATTAACAACAAGCGTCGTCGAAGCCCTGTAAGTGAACGACAGCAAAGTTCAGGAGAAACCTTTCAAAAACTTGAATCGATAATAATTATTATTATTATTAGTTCAAATACGTCTGTTTTTGTTACGTATAACATTTATTATTATTTAATTAAACAATAATGTTAAAAAAATTATTATTAGAAACAAAAGGTCAGATATTGATAATATAATTTGTAATTTAATTATAAAGTACTTATGGTGACGTCACGCATACTTGGTTATTCAATGATGTAGCTCACTATCCTTGATGGTAAAGAAAACGCTTTTACCGATGATAGATGTCAGCTGTCGATTAATTTGTTGACAAATGGGCAGGCAGCCATTTTCCATTTTTATTTTCTCCTGTAAAGTGAATTTTTCTGTTTCATGATAAAATCGTTTTTATACAAATAAATTTGTAATTATTGAGTGGTAATTAAAATAAACTCGTCATCAGTGATTTGTTGCAGCCAAAAATTACATTTGTGTGCCCAAAAATGGCGAAGCAAACAAGGTAAGGATTCATTTTCATAAAATCAAAAAAAAGAGATCATGTTTCAATTTTTACAAATTTCTATTTTAGTAACAGAGGCTCGAAAAATAGGCAACAGCAAAGTCGCCCCAACCGGTCAAATAACGCCAACAAGCTAAATTCAAATGCAAAATTCAAAAAACGCCCAGCAAGCACTGGTAAAGGCCGAGTGCAAGATGCCAGACAGAAAATCACCCAGAAAAAACGTAACGTCGTCGATGCCAGAGACGTATTGGCCAAAAAAGCAAAAACCCAAGATGCCCGAAGCAAGCTGGACAAAATAAGACACAGCCAATCGCCCAAACCTAATTCCAATATAAAAATGATAGGCAATAGCATCGTACAAAAAGTAGACAGAGATGGCAAAATCAGCTTGGTGACCAACAAATCGAAAAACACATTGCAAATGGACATGGCCATTAAAAAACAACTAGGACTGATACCACAGTCACGCCCTCCACTCAAAAGATCTCCCCCAAAAAAGCCTGTCAATATAAGACCCACTATTAGAAGAAATATAGCTGAAGAACGTTACGCTGGTCCTCGTATTGTTCCTGCAGTGCTACCTCGGTCCAGAGTCCAGGACAGTGGGATGTACAAATGGTTGAAGCCTGCTTTTAGACCCACAACCGATTTGGATACTGCTAGACAGGCAATGAGGGATGTGGTTAGGGAAGAACTTATGTTGGCTAACAGAGGATGGCCTAGCTTTCCAGCGCCCAGGTAAGAAACTTTCATACTAATTGGATAATCATCTTCTAATCAGTAATTTGGTTTTTATGTTTTTTAATGATTCTTTGAGTTTTATTTGGGTTTTTATATATGAAAGATGAGGTTTTTTTTGAAATTCAAAATCCTAATTTAAAAAAAATAAAACAAAAAAACCAAGGTTTTAATAAATCTGTACCTCTCAACCCTGCTTCAAATACCTGGTTCTACATTCTTTTATTCTCAATGGGATAAAGAGTTTTGCAATAATTTGCCATTGGAGGTGGAAGCTGATCTTGTTTTGGGAAGGTTTAGAGTTTTGTGTAGGAATTTTTCAGCCAAGTATTCATGAAAAAGTTTAGATTGGTGTTCAGCAGCTTGGGACAATTGCTGCTTTAGTCATAGACTCATAGTCATAATTCCTAAAATAGACATAATTTATCCTGTGATGTAATATATTGAATATTTCATTCTGTCTTGCTACATGAATATTTATATTACCTAACAGAGAAGGACCATCAATTTAAATTATTTACAATTTTGTATAAAAAGCATTGTGCTAAGATTTCTCCTGCAGATTTCTAACTTAAGAAGGTGTAATAATACAGATAATTCATCAACATTAATATGGTCAACAGGAATTTTTTGAGGGGTGGTTAAGTCCTTAACAGGTTCGCGGACAATTTCTAAATGTATGTTGTGCTTAGAATGTCAATTTTTGTATTCCCATGTTTGGTGTGTTTTTTTTCGCCGTGAACTGGACAATTTTGAGGTGAATAGACACTGTGGCAGGACTAATAAATTGAAAATACATGTAGCTATATGGGATCAAAGACGGCTAGAGCCGTTATTTGTTTAAATAAGAAAATTGGGGTGACTGCTATAGACGTCATGTCCCAAGCAAGGGAGAAGAATATGACGGCTTCGGCCGTACTGTCCGCGAACCTGTTAAAATATGTATACTGGGTGATTGGTGATTGTCTATATTTTACACCTACACCTATCTCAGATACGCAGAAATGTCAAATGTGAAAGTTGTAGGTAATATTAGAAAGTTTTCAATGATGTTAGTTACAAGTATACAGGGTGTGTCACAAAAGTGTGGCGAAGCAAAGTTATACTTTTTTAAATGAAAAACCTCGTATATTATTGTCCTATTGGATTAGCCTTTCAAACCTGATTCCTGATTCCAAATATACTAGGTTTTTTAGGCTTATTGTTGATAGTCTAGGAGAAACTTAGACAAAGAGGGGTGCATTTTTATTGAAAAAAGTAAAGTATAGAGATCACCAGCAAAATATAAAGGTAATCGTTCATGTAAAAAATCCATATCATCTTTTCAAAAAGGGATATTCAGAAGCTGGACTATGAGGAATAAACCTAAAAAACCTAGTATATTTGGAATCAGGTTTGAAAGGCTACCAATGGGATAATAATATGTGAGGTTTTCAATTTAAGAAAGTAGAACTTTGCTTCGCGACACTTTTGTGAAACACCCTGTATACTTGTAACTAACATCATTGAAAACTTTCTGATACCTACAACTTTCACATTTGACATTTTTTCTGGGTATCTCTTCAAACAGGTGAGATAGGTGTGGGTGCAAAATATAGACAATTACCCGGTATACAGATTTTAAATCTTCATTGATTTTGTAGGATTTTGAGGATTTTGAAAATCTTCACATGGTTTACAGGATTTTAAAAGATTTTAGATGATTTTGGAGCATTTTAGGGAAGTTAAAAAGGTTTTTAGAGATCCTAAAGGATTTTCAGAGATCTTAATGAATTTTTGGGGATTCCAAAGGATTTTTGGAAATTTTGAATTAGGAATACATATTAATGATTTTATAAGATTTTGCCGAATTTCTTTTGTTCTAAAAAAATTTTCTGTGATTTTGTGCAATTTGTGATTTCAAGTTTCAAGTCATTTTAAGGGATTTGGTGAGGTTTTGTTAAATTATTAAAGATTTTCAGGGATTTTGAATATATTTTACAAGTTTTTCTGTATTTCTACACAGATTTTGACCAATCCACCCCTCGGAATTATTATAATAATATGACCTATGTCTAAAAAATAGTCTTTGGAACCCTTCCAGCATATTTATATAAACATAGTTTAGGGAGCACACAAGACAATGAAATTCTAGTATGGACTCGAGTATGGAGTCTTTCAAAGTACAGACTACAAAGTAAAGGAGTTTCAGGACTCGATTGCAATAATATTTTCAATATAGAAATTGAGAGTGAGATCCTGATTGAAAGTTACTTAGGAGTAACTTTAACTTTACAGGAAAAGCATTACTATGCCCAGACATTCTAAATGATTTCCAGGTTTTGATTATGAGCCTGAAATTTGGACAAAATTGACTTGAAAGTCTCTGAACATCCACTCTCTACTTCTGAGAAAGATTCTTGTTGAAATTAACTCAAAATACTTTGAAATTCACATTTTCTAGTTCTAAGAACAAATTGTTGTTGAAACTAACCAAAAATGTGTACACCACTGCCTAAGTTAGGCAAAGTTTATTAACACTGCCTAGTCAATAGCTACGTTCACCAGAACCAAAACGGATTGTAAACAGTTTACAAATACCAACAGAATATGTTGGGTAAACTCTTGGTTCTGCTGAACGATTCAACTTTTCAATGATAGAACGTCATCCTCTGAATGTCATGTCACCACATAAAACACAAAGTGTTGAATAGTTATTTATGACACTAGTGTGTTATGTTAAAAATAAGTCATGCAAGAAAGATTTATATAATTCTCAAGTGACTTAGGAAACATAACACACGAGTGGCGTACAATGTTTTATCCAACAAGTGAAAAAATCGTTTTTTATGAGATGATTAATAAGCTTTTTGATCAAATCAAAGTTACTTGCGTCTCAGCTATAAATGTCAGAATGACTTGTCAGTGACTTTTCTACATTTTGGTCAAAACATATTCCACTCAAAAATATACAGGAAACTTAAATGGTTGCCCATGTAAATGAGTTTTTAGGCAACCAAATAAACTCATGCTTTTTCATTTGTAGACTAACCGGGTGGTGGCAGTTTTAATTTAAACAACGGGTACATTACTTTGTCATTCCCTTGTCATCCAAAGTTTCCAAAGTTTTGTTGGGAGTTGTGATTTTTATTCAACTTTGTGGATAGTTTCGAGATTTGTGCTTGAACTATAATAGAGGCTTATCAAGAACTTTATAAACAATGTGTTGTTACTGGTTAAATAAATAGAAAACTACTTCAAATATGAACGTGAGTTATTATCCATAACTCGCTAGTGAATTATGGATTATAACACACTAGTGTGTTATTTGATAGTTTACTTGTCTAAAATGACATTAATAATAATAGTCATAACTATCGTTTCAACACAAATTCAACGTAGCGTTCAGCAGAACAATCGTACAGCGTTTACCAACGTTGGCATCTGGTGAATGCGGCCAATGCCTATGGCGATTGCTGCGAACATTTCTGTCAATGCCGACAATGTCGCCATCAATGTCAAGAATGTCAACACCAATACCGTCAATTCCGACACAATGCCGTCAATTCCGACATCAATGCCGTCAATTCTGACATCAATGCTGTCAATTTTGACATCAATCCCGTCAATTCCAAAATCAATTCAATGCCGTCAATTCCGCGATCACTGCCTCAATTTCTCTTATTTATCTATTCAATGCCCATAAATCCTAAATAATTATTCTCACTGCCGTAATCATTCCTGTAAATTTGAACATCAATGCCGATCGTGATCGACCCAAACATTCTAAATGATTTTTAGGTTTTGATTATAAACTTAAAATTTGAAATTGACTTGAAAGTCTCAGAACATCCACATTTTCTAGTTCTGAGAAAGAATCTTATTGAAATTGACTTGATAGACTGGACTCTGAAATCCACATTTTCTAGTTCTAAGAACAAATTTTTGTTAAAACTAAACTCAAACGTTCTAAATTATTCCCAGGTTTTGATTATAAGCTTGAAATTTGAACAAAATTGACTTGAAAATCTTAGAACATCCACATTTTCTAGTTCTGAGAAAGAATTTTGTTGAAATTAACTTTTTTGACTCTGAAATTTACATTTTCCGAGCAAGAAATACTTGGTATTGATAAAATATTAATAGCATTACCATATATTTCCAAGTATTACCAACATATTACTGCCAATTTGGAAGCTTCTAAAAAATACTTCAGGGGGACTTGAAACTTTCAGGATTTATTAAGTATCATCTCAAACCGCGAATGGATTTCAGGCTCGAAAATGAAATTATGAATTTTTTCTCACTTAAATGCAAAAAAAAATCATGTAAAATTTCCATCAAATCACCTCAAATTAATTATTTCAGGCCAATAAGAAGCAGTGTCGATCATCCCAGGCCGCCAATCAGGCCTGCAAGTAGATACATTGACTTAGACGCTGTGGTTGAAGATGAAGAAATGCCCATGGTCAGAAATGAAGTTAGTAGAATCGCTCTGAGAGGATCTACCAGAGTTTCAAACGTACATTCGCGTTTAGATGGCGCTCCCAGCCAGCCAAAATCTCACGGAATATTAGCTGGGGAAATGAGCACTAAAGTGGTCGTACCCAATGGTCACAGGATTGTGGTTTCCAATTTGGAATCTAGTGTGACTGAAGAGGATATTAAAGTAAGGATTTTGTTTATTTAAAATGTTTAAATAAAATTATGTTTTTTTATTTAAGGAATTATTTGAAGATGTTGGGCAATTATTGTCAGCTAAACTGGCACGTCCTGGTGTAGCTGAAGTGATTTTCAAAAATCTTAAAGATGCTCAAAAAGCAGTTGATACTTACCATAACAGGCAGCTTGATGGTCAACCAATGAAATGTCTTTTGGTCAATAAGAGACCTTTGCATCAACCCACTGCTCGACCACTTATCAAATCTGGCGGGTAAGTACTTATGTCTTAAAATCCCATTATTACACATTTTGCCAATATTGTAAACTGAAGCTTTCTGTACATTTTCACTATTTTTCACATACAATTTTCTTGTGTAAGTTTTTACATAAGAAGTTGCACCAAAAGATTTGTGACATTTTATTGAAAAATTACAAGCTGATCCAAAACATTAGTTATTCAAAAAATGTAAGTTTGGAATTTTGAATTATTTCATACATTTTTTTTGTTTAGTAGCTTGTTTCCATTTGAGATACCTACAACATATGTATACATTTCTCTTTTCCTATAGAAACCTATTTTTTTAGGATGAGCATAAGTAGCAGAATTTCATCAGCTTCATCTAATGCCTCTAAGTTGGTCCCGGATTTAGGTACCATTCACAAGGTACTATTTCAAAGACACTAGGAGGTAGATCTAATTTTTTCCTTTGTATTAATTTTTTATTTGTGCTAGTTACATTATATTAATAATATGTATTTTTCTTTAAATTATTCTGTAGTTACTGTTCAGTTAAATGATACAGTAATAGTAATATTTTGTGTTATTTTAATAATTTTGAATTTAAGCTGTTTTTTAGGCAATATAATAAAGGCCATTTGTAATATAGAATATTGGTTATTTTTTTTTTACAGATTATTACTGTGTATAAATAATAGTGGGTTTCCTTGGTTTGTAATGTTGTTTCAAAACATTACGTAGTCATTGCATTTGTAAATAAAAATAAAATAAAACAACTCTAAGCTGTAAAATCATAATTTAATCACAAACATTTCCCTAATTAATTAGTTTAAATAGTAAAAACACTAACGTTTACATGTTGGATTTCTACAGAGTGGAATAAATAAAATGGAATGTTAATTTGTTTGTTTTTTTTTGTATTTGAATTAAATTGAAAATACCTAGGGCTGGTTTCTCAATAGCAAGTCATCCCCAGGTTAAGTATAAATATTGTAACGGGACATGTTTACCCTAGAGTTGAAACCAACCCCTAAAGATGTAAACATTGAAAATACTACTTGTCTTCTTTTTGTGATAATTTTTTGAACATGTTTTTCAATTCTCATTCATTGTCTTAGTTGACCCCTAAAAAGGTGACATTACTTGTAGCTATTATTAGGAATTTATAAACAGGGTAATAATAAACCCCCTAAATTCTAATTTTAATAGACATATTTTGAATAGCAATTTGAAACTATAACAAGTGATCACTTATAACATGGCAAATTTCATTGAGCCTTAAATATTGAACAGGGTATTTGACATTAGAAGTGATCACCCTGTACAACACGCTACTATATTATTTGTGATTAAACTTATTGGCACATAAAACAGGTCTTTGTAGAACCGCGATTTATATTTAAAGGGAAATAACACATAGCATTCAACACAAAAATAATAAAAATAAAAGTGACACGCTTACAAAATTCACAAATTAAAATTATTTACAAAACTCGAATAATATCAGCCTCAAATCAAAATAATAATAATTACAGTAGTTAACATTAACATTCAAAGAAAGATTGGTCTTTAGGTGTTTATTTTTTCATTTTCCTTCTACTTTGAAGCTGCTTTTGTAGCAACAACGTCAATTTTTGTCATTTTACATTCTTCTAAAGCTGCAGTTTGTAAACTTCTTTAAACTCAAATGTTAGGCAAATTGTTGTAGCCTCAAACAAGGATACAAAATTAAGAAAACCAAACTTCATCCAAAAGACCATTCTACTTCTTCCTCTGCCTGTACAACTCTCGTTTCTTAGTGTCAGCATTTCTAAGTACTTCGGCATAAGACATATCTAACTTTTTCAATTTGTGCAAATCTTGTGAGGCAGAGCTAGGTTTGAATTCGAAGCAAACTTTCCCGCTACCTTGACTCGGAGTAGGCGATGCCACGTTACGATTGGTGGCCCAAAATTGCAAAGTGTTGCCGTTCCAGTTGTTTTCTTCGGTAGGTTTAGCAGCGGATCTTCTCCTACTTGAATTAGGACGACTCGAATAAGTAATTTTCGGGCTGCCAATTATATGAGTTACCGGCGAATCGGAGCGATCAGAGTTTTTGTTTTTGCGTCTCGAGGAAGACCTTTTACGTACTTCAACTGATAAGTATTCCAGTGGTGGACGTACTAAAGGTCTGAGCACGAATTCTTGCTTAGCAGGTTCTGCTTCAGGTATTGGTTGGTTTTGTGATTGAATAATATTTTCAATTACCGTAGTGGCGTCATTTTGCGTTGATATTTCAGACATTGTTGAAGACATGACGCTTTGGGTGTCATCATCAGGGAATTCTGGTAGCTGATCGTTCATGGGAGTTGCTGGCGGTACGATTGGAATGGTTTTAGTGTTATCGTCCAACAAAGGCAACTCTTCACCTTCAGCTTTATTTTCGGCTGCCTTTTTTAGTACTCTAAATATTTCTTTGAACAAGTCTCTGTATTCTGGTCTGTCACGGAATCTAGAGTCTATAGGACTAGCGTCATCGTAGATGCTGAACTTGCAATCTTCGCCGTCAGCGATGGTGCACAAAAACGAACCGACTCTGCCTTCAGTTTGAGTAGATTTGTTGCTGGTTTCGTCCACATAGCCGCTGGAACTGGTTTCAGCTTCTGAAAAATCTGTCGGTGTTGAAAAGGTTTTTCTGGTTTTCTTGTGCTGTTTGCATCGTAGGCTATCTCCGTGCCCGCTCTCCTCGTCAGTGTCTTTAGTAAAATCGCCTGAAATTTGCATTTCTTCTTGCAGCGATGGGCACTGATTAATGGATTTTGTTGGGTTGCCACGGTGCACTTCAACCAGGGCCTCGTATTTTTCTACGAGGTCTTTGTAAGGGTTGGATGGTTGGCGGTTGGTTATGGGAGATGATTGATTGTCTACGTGATCCTAAAAGCAAAAAAATTACGTGTGAGTGTATGAGCGGTAAAGTTAAGCAGATTTTTAAGCCAAAGCAGAGGGTTGTGATGTGTTGATGCAGTCACAAAGGGTTCAGAGTGAATAGGGTTATTACTGACACAAGTATACATTGAACCATTGAATCCACAAACCATGGAGATAAAATTAAAATAAAACCATAAGCGTATTGTTAATTCTATTTATTAAAGTATAAAAATATAAATTATAAACTAAACATTAAACGCCTATACATTTACAATCACAGTAAGGTTTGTTAGTAATTTTGGCAGTCTTTTTTGTAATGGTGCCAAAATTACTCTATATAAACAGTGGCAACCTTTATTATTTATTTACTCTTCTGTGGAATATGGAGGCAAATATCTTTTGCCTTCCTTGATAAGCCACCACTGCCTATAGAAAAATGACTTAACAATAAATACAAATAAGAAGAGATACCACCAGAAAAAAATTAAAAAAAAAAACGTACCTCAATAACATTTATGGCCTAAAACAGTAACAAAATAAGACAAAAGGAAACTGTAGAGGCCGGTAGAACAAGGGTAAAAGAATTTCGTCTTTAATGCACAGGCACAAGTTGACTAGAATCGCGTAAAGATTTGATGAGGCGATTCCATAGACTAAGGCTGAGGAGGACATGTCCCTTTGGAGACGAACCTCCTCTGGGCTTTGTCCCTAAAGGGAAAAAGCAGCAACTAGACTAGCTTGTATTGAATTCTAGGATTAAGTTGGATCTTAAAATTAAACCACAGCCTTATTAACTAATCAAAAAAAAAAACACATACACATGCAGCAACGCTTTCCATGCAACAATCACAATATTGAACTTATTGTCTGCAGCATCAAATTTTCAATTGCCAAAAAATTCCTCAAAATAAACAAAATCAATTTGAAAAGACACCTAAAACATTTGAAAACTTGATGTGTAAAAACTGAACAAAACGAAGGAGTAGGGAGTAGGCGATTCACAAGAAGCACTCGGACAAACTGAGAAACCCCAGGTGCCTGACAAGCATGTGTCTCACCTGAACGTTCATGGAAAACGAGGTGCGGTGCTGGGTGGTCATCAGGTCTTCGAGCATACTTTGGTCGTCGTCGTCCGGAAGATCTAGCTCGCTGGATTGGTCCATTGTACGTAAACATTTGCTGCACATCTGACCTTGTCTAGAAATATGAATGAGGAATTAGTGTTCATTTTCAACTGTATGTCACAAGAGAGATGGGAAATTATCAATGTAGAATGTAGATGTTTAACATTTGACTGAAGATCAGAAAGTTACAACGTGATGCTTGTTCAAAACCATATGGGTGTCTCATTGAGAACCAAGTCGATCTATACAAGGCTTTCATTAGATAACTTGCCACCCTTAGTTGCCACCAAAAGGTCATAACTTTTTTTCTATTATAGATAGAAACTTTAGGGTGATTTATCAATTTTTCAATTTTTCCGAGTGCCTTTTTTCATAGATTTCGGCTTCAAATCTGGGAATAAATTAGTGAATGGAGTTCGGGGGATATCAAATGACCAGTAGAATACAAAGTCTCAACAAAAAAAAATTTGAAATATGATTTAGATTTTGGAAAATTTTGAAAGGTCATAACTTTTTTTCTATTACAGCTAGAAAGCTGAAATTTTCAGCGATTCTTATCACAGTAGAGGACTTCAATCCCTGAAAATTTCAACTCATTTGGATTTATAGTTCCTGAGATAAAATCGTGTTAAGGAATTTGGGGTAGTGATGTGACATCGGTGCTCAGACATCGATGTTGAACATCGGTTCTGATATCGCTCGATACTATCGATGTCAATAAAATATCGATTGAAAAATATCGATGGTTTTAAACATCGATGTTCGATGTTGAGATTATGTTTTTTTGGTGTTCTTGTAAAAATACTGATTGAAAACATATTTAGATACATTTATAAACAAAAAGATACAAAAATAAACATTATTTTGGAAAAAAGCAAAAACACGAATAAATTAATTACAGAATGAATAGGAATCAAATAATATAAACAGCAAAACTACTCCCAATTCTCGAGTTCCCAAAAAATACGACCTAAAACAAACTGAAAAATAAAAAGGTTGATAATCTTTTCCTTTTCCTTTCAACCTATTTCTTGTCTGAGCCTAGGTTTGCCGTACTTTTCGCATTATGAAATATCGATGGTTCGAACATCGATATGTCGATGTTCTGTAACTTCTGGCATCGATGCTAAAACATCGATTATCAAAGGCAATAACATCGATGTTTACGAGACATCGATGTTCAAGTCCCATCACTAATTTGGGGTGATTTATCAATTTTTCAATTTTTCTGAGTGCCTTTTTTCATAGATTTCGGCTTCAAATCTGGGAATAACTTGGTGAATGGAGTTCGGGGGATATAAAATGACCAGTAAAATACAAAGTCTCAACAAAAAAAAATTTGAAATTTCATCGTTTTAGTAAGAAGGTAGCTACCTTATGATTTAGATTTTGGAAAATTTTGAAAGGTCATAACTTTTTTTCTATTATAGATAGAAAGCTGAAATTTTCAGCGATTCTTATCACAGTAGAGGACTTCAATCCCTGAAAATTTCAACTCATTTGGATTTATAGTTCCTGAGATAAAATCGTGTTAAGGAATTTGAGGTGATTTATCAATTTTTCAATTTTTCTGAGTGCCTTTTTTCATAGATTTCGGCTTCAAATCTGGGAATAACTTGGTGAATGGAGTTCGGGGGATATAAAATGACCAGTAGAATACAAAGTCTCAACAAAAAAAAATTTGAAATTTCATCGTTTTAGTAAGAAGGTAGCTACCTTATGATTTAGATTTTGGAAAATTTTGAAAGGTCATAACTTTTTTTCTATTATAGATAGAAAGCTGAAATTTTCAGCGATTCTTATCACAGTAGAGGACTTCAATCCCTGAAAATTTCAACTCATTTGGATTTATAGTTCCTGAGATAAAATCGTGTTAAGGAATTTGAGGTGATTTATCAATTTTTCAATTTTTCTGAGTGCCTTTTTTCATAGATTTCGGCTTCAAATCTGGGAATAACTTGGTGAATGGAGTTCGGGGGATATAAAATGACCAGTAAAATACAAAGTCTCAACAAAAAAAAATTTGAAATTTCATCGTTTTAGTAAGAAGGTAGCTACCTTATGATTTAGATTTTGGAAAATTTTGAAAGGTCATAACTTTTTTTCTATTATAGATAGAAAGCTGAAATTTTCAGCGATTCTTATCACAGTAGAGGACTTCAATCCCTGAAAATTTCAACTCATTTGGATTTATAGTTCCTGAGATAAAATCGTGTTAAGGAATTTGAGGTGATTTATCAATTTTTCAATTTTTCTGAGTGCCTTTTTTCATAGATTTCGGCTTCAAATCTGGGAATAACTTGGTGAATGGAGTTCGGGGGATATCAAATGACCATCAGAATACAAAATCTCAACAAAAAAAAATTTGAAATTTCATCGTTTTAGTAAGAAGGTAGCTACCTTATGATTTAGATTTTGGAAAATTTTGAAAGGTCATAACTTTTTTTCTATTATAGATAGAAAGCTGAAATTTTCAGCGATTCTTATCACAGTAGAGGACTTCAATCCCTGAAAATTTCAACTCATTTGGATTTATAGTTCCTGAGATAAAATCGTGTTAAGGAATTTGGGGTGATTTATCAATTTTTCAATTTTTCTGAGTGCCTTTTTTCATAGATTTCGGCTTCAAATCTGGGAATAACTTGGTGAATGGAGTTCGGGGGATATAAAATGACCAGTAGAATACAAAGTCTCAACAAAAAAAAATTTGAAATTTCATCGTTTTAGTAAGAAGGTAGCTACCTTATGATTTAGATTTTGGAAAATTTTGAAAGGTCATAACTTTTTTTCTATTATAGATAGAAAGCTGAAATTTTCAGCGATTCTTATCACAGTAGAGGACTTCAATCCCTGAAAATTTCAACTCATTTGGATTTATAGTTCCTGAGATAAAATCGTGTTAAGGAATTTGAGGTGATTTATCAATTTTTCAATTTTTCTGAGTGCCTTTTTTCATAGATTTCGGCTTCAAATCTGGGAATAACTTGGTGAATGGAGTTCGGGGGATATCAAATGACCAGTAGAATACAAAGTCTCAACAAAAAAAAAATTGAAATTTCATCGTTTTAGTAAGAAGGTAGCTACCTTATGATTTAGATTTTGGAAAATTTTGAAAGGTCATAACTTTTTTTCTATTATAGATAGAAAGCTGAAATTTTCAGCGATTCTTATCACAGTAGAGGACTTCAATCCCTGAAAATTTCAACTCATTTGGATTTATAGTTCCTGAGATAAAATCGTGTTAAGGAATTTGAGGTGATTTATCAATTTTTCAATTTTTCTGAGTGCCTTTTTTCATAGATTTCGGCTTCAAATCTGGGAATAACTTGGTGAATGGAGTTCGGGGGATATAAAATGACCAGTAGAATACAAAGTCTCAACAAAAAAAAATTTGAAATTTCATCGTTTTAGTAAGAAGGTAGCTACCTTATGATTTAGATTTTGGAAAATTTTGAAAGGTCATAACTTTTTTTCTATTATAGATAGAAAGCTGAAATTTTCAGCGATTCTTATCACAGTAGAGGACTTCAATCCCTGAAAATTTCAACTCATTTGGATTTATAGTTCCTGAGATAAAATCGTGTTAAGGAATTTGGGGTGATTTATCAATTTTTCAATTTTTCTGAGTGCCTTTTTTCATAGATTTCGGCTTCAAATCTGGGAATAACTTGGTGAATGGAGTTCGGGGGATATCAAATGACCAGTAGAATACAAAATCTCAACAAAAAAAAATTTGAAATTTCATCGTTTTATAAGAAGAACTTTTTTTCTATTATAGATAGAAAGCTGAAATTTTCAGCGATTCTTATTTCAGTAAAGGACTTCAATCCGCCATATTGAATTTTTATTTTGACAGATGGATTGGATTGCCTAATAGACCTTCAAACGCTTTTATCTCCCCATCAAAAGTCGAATGTGAGGTTGTGTGTGACGTGAGCTAGTGCCCAATTTCCCTCATTTGAGTAGAAACCAAAAATGAAATAATACATAGGGTTGCTCATTTAAAATAAGCAAGTTGACATCTACTTGAGATACAACCGAAAGTGACAATATCCTGAAAATTAGTTTTTTATACATAGATCGATTTGATGTTTTTGTGGGACACCCTGTATGCTTACATAATCAGTTTTCAACTTGACAATCATTATATTTCTGAGAAACTTTTAAATCTTACAAAAAATACAATGAAGGAATTAAGGAGCTATTGATTCTCTCTTTAATAATAATTCTTACCTAACTTCATCTAGAGTTGTAAGTTCTTCGTGCATACTCTTCATGTTCAAATCGTCGCCTCTGTGACTCAAATGAATCACTTGGTTTTCCAGTGATTGATTTTGCTGAACCATCGTGGCCAGTTGTTCTTCCAGCTCTGCAATTTTCCGTTCGTCTCTGCTGCACTGAGACCGAGCTTCTCTACAAAAGAATAATTTCTAATTAACGCATCGTAACTTTGAACGAAAAAAAAAATAATGTAAAAGCCATAGGCAACCGATTATGTTGTATAAATTGGTCACGCTCTGTATAATTTGAGTTGTTCTAGTTCTCAAACGAATTCCTAAATATTTTATTATTGGAATTTTTACGGTGATTATATTTATTTACCTAAGTTGTGCCATAAGTTGAGCCATTTCTTCCATGCTGTTGTCAGTTTCGTCGAGCGAGTTTTGATCGCATTCGGGTTGAGTTTGATTTGAGGTTTGTTGTGTTGGTGGTCGGGATGTACATTTTTCCTATAGAAAACAAAATCATTTTCATTTGTAAAAGAAACATAAATACAAATTCTTACATGTTTTGCTTGTACATAAGTTTTTGAGCAATTTCCGGATGAATTATCGTCATTGTCAGATGTATCTTTAACAGGTCTCAAAGTTACCACTTCTCTTTGGTTGGTACTTCTTGATAGTCCTGCATCACTGTTCCGGTTGACTTTTTTCTTCAATACGTCAATTTGCATCCGAAGTTCGTCGATAATACCTTGAAGCTCTTCGTTTTTAACTTCCAATTGTTCCACTGAAGCGTTGAGACTTTTGATGTGCTTCTTTTCGGAGCCATTATCGAATTGCAATCGCAAGTTGGTGCGTTCCAAGTCTTGGATACTCACTTCGAGTTGTTCGTAGATTCTCAGTCGGGAATCGTTTACTTCTTTTAGGGCTACGGTTTGTTTGGTGAGGTACTCGATTTCTAGTTTCTGGTCTTCGATGGTGGATTGTTTTTCTTTGAGGAGGGTTTCGAGTTCTCGGTTCCGGTCCAGGAGGGTTTTGCCCAGTTCAGCTGCTAGGTGTAGATCTGAAAATAAATAAATAATCAAATGTATGTAGGAAGTAGGTATGTACGAGGCAACAGCTGTTACAGCATTATAATAATGCATTTTGCATATGTTATCCATCAGTGGCCTCTGGGCATATAGATTTTTATCTTTGACGTTATGTATAGTTTTTTTTTTAATGTGCTTCTATAATGGAATTTACAAGACAATGAACTTAAATTGTGTTTTTCTAGCTAGTTTATATGCTAATTATCATAAAAATTGTGCAGTATCTACCTACAGTCGTAAAACGAGAACATTGTTAGTCTTGTATGGGTCATTTTGTCTTCCTGTTCTTGGAATTTGGTGTGATAAATATTTCAATTGCTTCTCTTGGTTCATTTTAAAGTTATTCTTGGGCTTTTTTAATTCCTTGTTATTGTTAGATATTATTGTGTGATGATCTCAGAATTGATAACTTAGGATTTTGTACAATTTTCAAAATTTTCGACATGATTAGCTAGCATCTTTAAATTGCATGAAATAATTTATTATTGTGTTTTAATTGATATGATTTTTTGATCAGTTCAAAATATAGGAATCATGTATATTTATCAAGGGGTAAACCACCTTTTGGAAATTGTATAAACAATTCCTCAAACTACTTGCAAATTTCTGCAAATTCCCTGCAAATGCCTGTTAGATTTTTTTTTTTTTTAAATACCGTTTATTCAACCAAACATTACACTCCATGAAAATCTCCAAAATTGGTTATAAAAAATGTATTTTTTTACTTTTATTACGCTCAGTGTTAATGATTTTCTTCCAAAATGACATTGAACCACATTTTACTTCACATCTTTGTTAATTTCAATCCAATCGTACCTAATGTAATTAGGTTCGAAATAAAGCCAATTAAACCCTTCACAAATCCTTAGTGAATAATTTCAATGCGGCTTGCATAGTTTTAGCTGTTCAAACTTCTTGCAAATTCCTCCAAAAATTCCTCCAAACTGCTCGCAAATTCCCTGCAAATGCCTGTTACAAATTCCCTGAAAATTTCCAAAATTGTTTGTGTGAAAAAATGTATTTTTCTATTTTTATTAAGCTCAGTGTTGAAACCAATAAATTAAATTCCCCTAATTTCCTATACGTTCCTCCAATTCCCCACAAATTCCTCCACAGTTTTGGCAAAGAATTCCTTGGCGAAAAAACAACCAAAAACAATTACCATTGTGGTTCTACATGGTTAATTCTGGTAAATATATTTAAACATGGTAATTTTAGGTGAAAACACGCTTAATATGTAACCTTTGTAATAAAATTTATTAGATTGAACCCATTAAATAAAACTACTCCAATTTTTCATACATACGTTTTGTTCTTTGGACATTAATTGGTTTCTAATTAAATAATGGAAAGTGATTGCTTCTGGTACAGGCTCCGGCATGTTTTGATCTATGTTTCGCCGGTGTTAAATAACAAATCGCACTTTCGTTGATTTAATTGATCGTTAATCAACAGTTAGCGACGTATGTAAATCAATTAGATGCAAATAATTTTTGTTTGTATATTTGGTTGTTAAATAAGTAACGAGATAGACAAAACTGTATGATTATTCAAAAACATTACCTACATAAGAAATGTATGATTATTCAAAAACTGTACAGGGTGTTTTGAAAATTGAATGTCAGAAATGTGAAATGTTGCATGCTTTCAGCTTTTCCCAAATGGGATGCCCTATTCCGGGCCCGTGTTCATAAATTTCGTCGCCCTAGTTGTGAATGGTCGTAATCCACAAAATGTTCATTCTTGAGTTGTGACTGTTAATACTGTTAACATGCATACTTAAAAATGTTTAAATTTCATGTTGGTGAATAGATCTAAGCCAGTGATCAATATTTGACCTTGTTATAGTATATTTGCTAATTAAAAAGCATATTTTCACCAAAAACAAAAATTTTAAATGCAGTTTATTTTATTCACAACTTACCTTGAGTGGATTCCGACCATTCACAACTAGGGCGACGATTTTATCGGGTCCCTAGGCCCTATTCCAGCGAAATAAAAAAAATTGAAAAATGACAGAAATATATATTTTTTTGAAATATACAGCGTGAACCTCGGGGTGATCCTAAAGTATGAAACATATTCAATATAAAATAAATGGAGGGGTTTTGGAAAAAAAGGCTTGGAAACGTCGATTTTGTTTTTTTGCTTGAGATTTTTCAACACCAATTTCTCCATACAGGTTGTTTCAAGAACAGCTGTACCAATATCAACTTTATTCTTTTTAAATCGTTCCCTCTATATGTTATGATATTTCTGGATTCTGCGGAAAATTCAAGACATATTCCATGTACAATCTCATTCCGGAAATACCTTTATAGAATAAGAGAAATAATTATAAGTCTACATAAGAATATAAGAAATCAAGTCTTTACCACCTGAGATATACAGGGTGATTCCATAAGTTCACCACTACGTCGTGGGGGATCCTTCAAGGATCCTCAGAAAAATACTTAAAATAGGTAATATAAAGTTACTCTTAACAAAGTTATTAGAAGAACACGGAGTGGTAAAATTAGCAATATCTTAGAGGTAGACATTTTACAGTTTACAAAATTCATTTTAGAAGGTAAAATGTAACTGATGTAATCTTTTTTGTCATAGATCAATAAAAGACCTCTGGAACCGGAACTTTATAGGGAATATCGCAGTTCCAAAAAAAAAATCGGAAATAAAGAAGTTAACTTCTCAACTTTATTCCTTCATATGACCACCAATCTTGGAGAAGGATTTTTTTCACTATTTTTCTGGGAATCCCTGAAGGGTCTCCTACGACGCAGTGGAGAGTTTATACGCCATTTTGGAATCACCCTGTAGATATATTATTTTTATTTTTATATAAATTAGCGTCAAATGTGTAAAATGTATTTTTTTTTACTTAGAACAAAAATAATATTGACATGAAGAACCAGGCCCCTTGAGGTACCGGGCCCGTGTTCCGCGGAACACCCGGTGACTACGCGCCTGACTATATAGTTTGTTTTTATTTGGTTGAGCCATCTCTAACATATTTGGTTCTAAAAATTTAAAAAACACTATCAGAGAAATCAAGTAGGTATCTGAAATTTTATCTGCAGCATTCACCTGTAGAGGTAGAATCGTTCACAAAATCAGTAGTAGGATAGTATTTTTACAATTTTTAGAGCCGAATTTATGAGAGACAGTTCAATCAAATATAGACAAACTATATATTTTTGGAATCGGGGCATTATGCGCTTGAATAATATAGAATAAAATATAGGGCATGCCATTTGAAAAAAGTTGGAAGTATTCAAAATTTCACTTTTCTGACATTTAAATTTTGTTTTTGACCATGGTTTCTGAAAATTCAACCAAAACTGTACAACTTTTGTATTTACACTTTTCTTCTATCTATAAAGATAAAGGCTGTAGGTGGGGTGTTAATATATAAAAAAACACCCTGTACAAATAAGTGGTTTATTGCGGAACTTATGGGTAGATTTCTGCGGGACGAGCGTAGCGAGTTCCGCAGCCATCTACTCACCACTGTACTATTGAACTGTTCAAGCAAGACATTCATCTAAATGTAGTTTTTGAACTAATGAGAAAAACTCACAACTGAGAGAATCAAGTTAGTATTGTACTTGAACAACATATTGGTGATTAGATGGCTGCGGAACTCGCTACGCTCGTCCCGCAGAGGTTCACTCATAAGTTCCGTAATAATCCACTCATTTGTACTTGAATAACTTGTCACATTATGTTACTAGTTTGGTAAAGTAACATTACTAATTCCTGATGAAAGGCAAATTTACAAAAAGTGAATAATCTTAGAAATTTTGACTTTATACATACCGGGTGGGGCACGAAAAACTCTTCACCCAGGTTTTCTCAGGTGTTAGGTGTTTAATCAAAAATCGCTCAGACACGTCAATTGTTGTTTTTTTTGGGGACACATTTTATTGGTATGTTCACCTACCTACGCTAAGTAGCGGTGACAGATATTCACAAAATTTTAAATGAAAAAGGGGGTCGAGTGATACATCATTTGATAGCTATTTTCATTAAGATTATATCCCCGAAGTTTCAAGTTGCTATTATTTACCTTGTCGAAATGGCGGCTTATCAAAATTAGGGAAAAACAATGGAAAAATGCTGTGTGGTTTTTACCTGTTACCTACGCATAGGAGGTGTGACAGGTAAAAACTATACAGTTTAGATTATCGATAAAAAGCATTTATCCTAACTTTGACATACCGCCATTTCGACAGGATTAATAGTAGCAACTTCGGGGATATAATCTCAATGAATATAGCTACCAAATGACATATCGCTCGACCACTCTTTCCATTTGAAATTTTGAGGATACCTGTTACCCCCACTTAGGGGTTCACAGGTAGGGGGTGAAAATACCAATAAAATGTGTCCCAAAAAAAACAAAAATTGACGTGTCTGAGCGATTTTTGATTAAACACCTGAGAAAACCTGGGTGGAAAGTTTTTCGTGCTCCACCCGGTATAATAAGTTATTGTTCAAGTACAAATAAGTGGATTATTGCGGAACTTATGGGTGGACCTCTGTGAGACGAGCGCAGCGAGTTCCGCAGCCATTTACTCATCATTGAACTATTTAAATAAGACACTCACCTGAAACGTGTAGTTTTTGAACTAATGAGAATTACTGACATTTGAGTAAGTCAGGTTAGTATCGTACTTGAACAACATATTTGTGAATAGATGGCTGCGGAACTCGCTAAGCTCGTCCCGCAGAGGTTCACCGATAAGTTCCGCAACAATCCACTCGTTTGTACTTGAATAACTTGTTATATTATGTTACTAGTTTGGTAAAGTAGGTAACATTACTAATTACTGTTGAAAGGCAAATTGACAAAAAGTGGATAATCTCACAAATTCTGATTTTACATAATAAGCTATTGTTCAAAAACAGGATGTTTTTTTATATATTGACACCACATTTACAGCCTTTACCTTTACAAGTAGATGAAAGGTGT